CAGAGCCTGGAGACGCTGAACCTGGGCCACAATCCCATCGGGAACGAGGGCGTCCGGAACCTGAAGAACGGGCTCATCGGGAACCGCTCCGTGCTCCGCCTCGGCCTCGCCTCCACCAAACTCACCTGCGAAGGTCAGGCCCCGGGGGGGGACCCCAAATTCCAAGGGGGGACACAATTCCCGGGATTCGGAGCCGCCGCGGGGGCACTCGGGGCACGGAGGAGCTGCCTCGGGCAGGGAGAGGGTGGATTGGTCCAGGAGATCCTGGTTTGATCCAGGAGAACCTGGTTTGGTCCTGGACAAGGTGGATTGGTCCAGGAGATCCTGGTTTGGTCCTGGAGAACCTGGTTTGGTCCAGGAGATCCTGGTTTGGTCCAGGAGAACCTGGTTTGGTCCTGGACAAGGTGGATTGGTCCAGGAGATCCTGGCTTGATCCAGGAGATCCTGGTTTGATCCAGGAGAACCTGGCTTGATCCAGGAGAACCTGGTTTGATCCAGGAGATCCTGGTTTGATCCAGGAGATCCTGGTTTGGTCCAGGAGATCCTGGTTTGATCCAGGAGATCCTGGTTTGGTCCAGGAGAATCTGGCTTAGTCCTGGAAAAGTTGGCTTAGTCTAGGACTGGTTTGGTCCTGGACAAGGTGGATTATTCCAGGAGAACCTGGCTTAGTCCAGGAGATCCTGGTTTGATCCAGGAGAACCTGGTTTGGTCCTGGAGAACCTGGTTTGGTCCAGGAGATCCTGGTTTGGTCCAGGAGAACCTGGTTTGATCCAGGAGATCCTGGTTTAGTCCAGGAGAACCTGGTTTGGTCCAAGAAAACCTGGTTTGATCCAGGAGATCCTGGTTTGATCCAGGAGATCCTGGTTTGGTCCTGGACAAGGTGGATTAGTCCAGGAGGACCTGGCTTAGTCCTGGAAAAGTTGGCTTAGTCCAGGACTGGTTTGGTCCAGGAGAACCTGGTTTGGTCCTGGTGGCCCCAGCAGTGTCCTGGTGGCCCCATTGCTGTCCCTACTGCTGTCCCTGTTGTTGTCCCCCCAGGGGCGGTGGCCCCATTGGTGTCCTGGTGGCCTCACTGGTGTCCCCTTGCTGTCCCCCCAGGGGTGGTGGCCCCAGCAATGTCCTGGTGGCCCCATTGGTGTCCTGGTTGCCCCACTGGTGTCCCG